ATAATATAAGCTTACGATGTCACGTCATCATGTGCCCATTTGTGACTCACAATGCCTTCAGCATGAAACATATCACTCTTTCTTGCCGTAGGAAAAAATAAGAATAAGTAATACTTGAAAGGTGTTCTATGATCATTTCGAAGAGATAAATTGCATTAGTTTATCTGTTTATTCCACCTAGAGAAGTTCCATCAAGAGTAGCAAAATGTAACTTCAGCTCCTGAAAGATTCTGAGTTTGTACCTCTTTTGAAGAGAAATAGGTGTACAACTACCATATCTTTTTCCTTTTGTAGCCAAAACAGTTGGTGCCTTTGTGATGAATAGAAGTATTTCATGCGGTTATTTGGAATGAGGCAATTATATACACTACTACAATGGTGTTTACATTTGGCACATCGCATTCTTTTTAAATTTGAATGTCATCGGAGAAAGCTGTGTCAATTTTTCCTTTCCTTGCATATCTTCATATTTCACCCAACGATAATGAAGTTGTAACTTGATTTGATGTTCTGTAGGTTATTCCATGGGGAGACCTAGACTCACTAGCCATGCTTCAGAGGCAGTTGGATGTAGACATCCTTGTGACAGGCCACACCCATCAGTTCACAGCGTACAAACATGAAGGAGGTGTCGTTATAAACCCAGGGTCTGCCAGCGGCGCTTATAGTAGCATCACCTATGATGTCAACCCAAGCTTTGTCCTCATGGACATTGATGGTCTTCGTGTGGTTGTTTATGTCTACGAACTCATTGATGGAGAGGTTAAGGTTGACAAGATTGATTTCAAGAAGACAACCGCCGCTACCCACTCCGCTCATTGAACTCAAATTTCATGTACTGTTTTGTTGTAGACTTTGGATATGTGTTCTGTGTTTGTATTTGTGTCAAATGGTGCAAATTCTGGTTTTATAGTGATTGAGCTTTCCCAACAAAGATTTGATAAACTTGTAACTTGTTTGCTTGTATGCCAGACCTCGTTGGGGATACAAACATCCTTGTTTATGAGAATCTGGTACATAAACAAGATTTTAACCTAAAAAGGCTACCTACATTTTACACCCTCCATGTTTTGTGTCATTTCAAAATGGGTCAAGCTTCATTAGATTTGATGACATGGTGAGCATGAAATTCGTAATTGCGATGACATGTAAGCTACATTTTTGCCGTACTGACAAATAAACTCATCAACTTAATGATATTTTACGTACAAATATGCGAAAGGTCTAAGTTTATACTGTTTCACAACCTTCGGGACAATGTGAGAAAATTGAAACCTCAAGACCCAGTTTAAAAATCACCTTAAACCTTGAGAGTGTAAAATGTAGTTAACCCAATTTTCTTTAATATGATAAATCCACAAACGAAACTATTACAAACTTCTAATAAAAAAACATAATTGAATCGATCACCAACAATATTGTTTATCATAAATGATAGATCTCAAGTTCGATGGACATTGAACATTGAATAGACAATAAAGGGTACCAAAAACCCTTTATGCACTACTTTCTAAAACCCAACCAGCTTGAAACTCAACTACTTAAAAAGGTTCCCCAATATTTTGAATGCCCCACATTTATCCATATGTCTCCCAAACCCTCCATCATCAAATCAAACTGCAACCCTTTTGATGAAATAACATCTCTCTTGCAAAAATGCAAACACAAAGACCATCTCCATCAAATCCATGCACGCATCGTGACCACAGGCCTCGTCCGCAAGCCTTCTGTAGCAAGCAAACTTGTTGCATCTCTTGCCTCCATTCCACTCCCCGCCACAAACTCAGCCGCCCGCTCGATCGCCGACGGAGTCAAGGGTCTCGATTCCTACACCTGGAACACCATCATCAGAGGTCACTTGGCGGGGAATCAACCAAAAGAAGCGCTTTTGGTTTATTCCCATGTCAGAGGGAAGGGTCTGGAGGTGGATAGTTATACCCTTCAGTTTGCTATCAAGGCCTGCCGCCTGATGCCATTGGTTCTTGAAGGGAAGCAGTTACATAACCAGATTTTGAAACTGGGTTTTGGCTCTGAGATCATAATTCAAACTTCCCTTGTGAATATGTATGGTTTTTTCGGTGAGCTTGAATGTATGCAGCAAGTGTTTGATGAAACGCCTCAGAGAGATTTAGTCATGTGGAATTCAGTTGTTGCTGCATATTCTCAGCACAATTTCCCTTACATGGCACTTGCAGTTGCAAGTGCCATGGCCGGTGAAGGTTTGAGACTAAATGGGTCGAGTGTCGTTAGCTTGCTTTCCGCTTGCTCGTTTTTGAAGGCGATAAGGAAAGGGAAGGAAGTTCATGGCTATGTGATTAGAGGACAGCTTGTCGATAATCATGATGTTTTTGTTTACAATGCTTTGATTAGTATGTATTCAAGATGCGGGGTTTTATCAAGTGCTCGTCGGATATTTCAAACGATGCCTATGAAAAATGTGGTTTCTTGGACTTCTATGATCAACTGTTATAGCGATAACGATCATCTGAAGGAGGCATTCTGGTTGTTTGAACAGATGGAGTCTGAGAAAATAAAACCAGATGAGATTACCATTTTGGGAGTTATTTCAATGTCCTCAAAGTTTCGAAGCTTCAAGATCGCGGAGTGGATTGACCGTTATGTCGAGAGAAATGGGTTTAGAAGTACAGGGAGCATTGCAATGTTAAATGCACTAATGGACATGCATGCCAAATGCGGGAACATCAAGAAAGCTTGTGAAATTTTTTATGGCATGGAACAGAAATCGTTAATGTCTTGGACAACCATCATACATGGACTAGCGATGCACAGCGATGGAAAGCAATCCCTGGCTATGTTCTCTCAGATGCAAAGAGAAGGGTGTAAACCAGATGCGGTTGTATTCCTCAACGTATTGTCTACCTGCAGCCACGCAGGAATGGTGGACGAGGCGCGAAATTGTTTCAATTCAATGGTAAACGATTACCACATGAAACCGTGGATGGAGCACTACGGTTGCATGGTTGATCTACTATGTAGAGCTGGATTGGTGAGTGAGGCATTTGAGTTTGTTCAGACCATGCCGTATAAACCAGATACGATGATATGGCGAATGCTGCTCGGGGCATGTCAAGGCCAAGGAGATGGTAGTTTAGCAAGACGGATTATGAGCCAGTTACGTGAGATAGGGCCGAAAAACAGCAGAGACTACGGACTGCTATCAAATTTGTATGCCGCCATGGATGAATGGGACAATGTGAAGGAGATAAGAAGGGAGATGAAGGAGAAGGGAGTAATAAAAGAGGATCCTGGGAGCAGTTCAATTGAGGTTTATTAAGAAAATGCACATGAAAATTTGACTTATCAAATTTCATTTTTTTTAATATAAGCAATATTGAGGGATGAAATTCAAACTTAAAACCTCGATCAGTTGATCAAAGATGCTAGGGTTGGCAGAAAAATTTAAAAGCACCTTTGAGTTGTAGAAGTGTTTTTTATAGGGAATTCTAATAAAAATTTCTACATGTTTATAATAAAAGCACTTATTAGCAGAAGTGCTTCCTACATAAGCATTCTTGACAATGCATATTTTGATTCCAAATTTAATGCTAACTTTGACTAGTTCCTGCAAATTGAAGTATGAGAAGGACATAACAGTCATAACGATACTAATAGCACTGTTTTGCCCTAACTTCAAAGTTCAAAAGTCATTCATTTCCTTAAAAATGGTCGGAGTTGTAAAAGTGAATCCTGAAGAAACACTTATTATTTGCTTGCTTGAATTTTTAATAAAAATTTCTACATGTGTAAAAATAAACGCACTTTTAACGTAAGCACTTACGAGAAGAAGTGCTTCATGCGTAAGTAATTCCATACAGAACATATCTTGATTTAGGGTTCCAAGATTTGAGTAGTTAAACCAAATTCAAGTATGAGAAGGACGTAACATTCATATCGATACTAATAGCATTGTTTTGACTTAACTTCAAAGTCACTCCCTTCCTTATACCAAAAAGGCCTCGCAAGCCAAATCCAAACCAAATTACTTAAAAGTACAGAAAATATAAATAATACCAGGCCTTTGTAAATCTAGTCCCAAACTAAGCTTTTCTCTAAATTTTCTTCCTTTATCCCCTCTACTTTTCTCAGCTTCTTGTTCTTATTCTTCAAAGATGTCAAGGAACGGAGTCTTTGTCAGCTGTGAAGTATGGCAGGAAAGCAGTGAACTCGCCGACGTCGGTTCCTCGACAAAACCCGAGTTCTTGATCGATATGTATGCTCAATATTCAAGGTACCCTCCAAGCTTCCACGAGTTCAAGGAGCAATGCCACATTCTAACAGAGAGCATAACATCCTGGTCTGTGATATCCAACATGCTTTCGCAGGCGTCGGTTCCCTACCACGTTCAGCCGTCCATGATCCAGGTGATTTCTAGTCGCGCTCGTGAAATCGCCAGTCATCCAGAGAATATGAACCGCAAGACTATTCGGATGGTAGTGCATCTTACAATTGGTGATTATATGTTGCAGTTTGTGCGGACAAAAAATATGTCGATTGAGGAGTTGGAGAGAGTCAAAATCGAAGGCTGCGGGAAGCAATGTGTTATATGTTTGGAAGAGATGCAGTGTGGTTCTGAAGCCATTCGCACGCCTTGCTCGCACGAGTATCACGAGAGTTGCATAGTGAAATGGCTGAAGATGAGTCTCCTCTGCCCGCTGTGCCGGTTTGAGATGTCTGCCAATCCTCATGACAAATTATTTGTAGCTAGTTTTTAGAAATTCTTTGTACAAAAATGTGATCAAACTCTTACCAGATTATTAAACGGCAGATTACGTCCTTGATGCGTATAAAATTTTGCACTGCTGCGAAACGTAATATGCTTTTCTTGGTTCTCTTTCTTAATCCTTTTCTTTTAGTACAAGTTGTTAAGAAAGTTTGGTGTCAAATTTTCTGGCTGAGTTTTCGTACCAGACAATTTGGTGCATGGTTGGTACCTTTCCCCTTGTTGGATGCTACCCAAATTTCCCATCTTCGACTCAACCGAGTCATTAAACATTATAAAATTAACAGTCTAATAACATAACATACTTTTTGCGGAGCTAATTTTATTAACTAAGACCAGTTTATGCGAAGGCATCTCTTAAACTACTTGATTTCTCAATTGCTAGCTCGCTAAGCAGCTGTAAATCTATAAAGCATCACATGCAAGTAGGCCTCTCCGGGTTTCACGATCTGCGAAGGGAAATTCGGGTGATTTACAGCATCCGGGAAACCCTGCGTCTCCAAGCACACTGCGGCATGCTTTCTGTACACAAACCCGCCTTTCCCCTGCACATTGTCCAACATGTTACTTGTATAGAACTGCAACCCTGGTTTGTTCGTCCATAGTTCCAATTTTCGCCCTGACACGCTGTCATGCAACACTGCTGCCTTACTCAAATGATTGGGACTCGAAGGGTCAAGCACATAGTTGATGTCATATCCATCCGGCAACCCATTGATCTTGCTACCAATTTCTTGGGGCTCAAGGAAGTCGTAGGGTGTTCCTTTCACAGGCACAATTTCACCAGTGGGGATGAGTTGGTCATTAACTGGTGTAAACTTGGACCCAAAGAGCTGGATCGTGTGCGAGAGGATGTCACCGCTGTTTTGGCCGCGGAGATTCCAGTACGTGTGGTGTGCTAGGTTCACCGGAGTGGCCTTGTTATGAGCTTTGGCTTCCATTCTAATAGCTAGTTTATTTGTGTCAATAATAATGTAAGTTACCGACACAGAAAGATCACCAGGAAATCCTGCAGTTTTAGCAGAAAATGTTACTAATAGTTACCGTTTTGTTTGACCAAACGATATTCTAAACTACTTTGATCTACGAAAAGGAGAATTCTAACGTCAGCACATTGTCTCGACCAACTAGCTTAGCTCACATATGCTGAAAGTATTACTCCTTATCCAATCTATATTTTACCTTGTTCACCATCCAAGCTGTCATAGGTGAATGTTATGTGACTATCTTCTTTGTGACTTTTTACCGTCCACACAACATCACTGAACCCTTTAAGGCCACCTGAGATAAAATTACAAGTGAATTAAGTTAAAAATTAAGAAATTATTCTAAATTATGGAGAGAAGGATTCAAACTCGGACGCAAAGCAGTGGACACATTGTCGTGACCAACTGACCTAACTCACATTCTTGATTATGTACTCGAGAATTAAATTTCCAAAAGATAAATTTTGAACATGTATACCATGGAGAGTGTTATTCCCGTCATTAGCAACCAACTTATATTGGACGCCATTTAATTCAAATTGAGCTCCTCCAATTCTGTTTGCAACACGTCCAACAATGGCTCCAAAGTAGACTGAATCATTCTGCAAATACATGTAACAACTGTATAAACATTCAAAGGCAACCATTTTAATTCCATCGTAACGCGAAGAAGATGCAACAGATTCATGAACTAACCGTGTACTCGTTAAGCGATTCGAATCCAAGAACAATGTCGTCTAATTTTCCTGAAAAACAACGAAAGAAATCACACAATGAGCGCATTTAAAATTGTAAAATATTCAGTTCGAAGTCACAGTTCCGCGAACCGTTCTTGTCGGGGAGAATAACGGAGAGCACAGTGGCACCATAGTTGGTGAGCTTTGCAGAGAAATCTCCCTTCTTCAGTTCATAAACTCCAACCTTTTCATTTGCCTCAGAGCGATCGAAAGCCAACGGAAGCAAGAGAAAACACAAAAACAAATATATCTTAGGCATTGTGGATGAAAAATAAACACCCTACAAAACCGAATAAGGAAAAAACAAATTTCCACCAAGAAGGGGGTTGAATTTGGCTAATATATAGAGAAGAAAATTGAGATTAGATTATGATAATTGTTTGGATAATTAGAAGGATAAGGATGTGATCATATTATGTAGATAAAATTGCGAAGAAAATTAGGTAAATATGTTTGACTTTGTAATTCCAGTTTTGACTTCAGTTGAGATTTCAAATTTTGGAATTTCGATTAATATGAATTACGAAACTACCAAATATAATACATTTGAAATTTATGTTGGGATGTAATTTATCTAAAGGTGATTATCCGGCCTTATTTTTTACCGTGTCATTAGGTATAGTCCAGCGGTAATCCGCTCAGACTACGTAAGTGGGTTCAATATTGTTAGTTTTTACCATGTGCCACTGATAAAACCGGCGACTCTCTTGCCTATGAGCATCAAATCTGAAGACGAGATTTAGAATCGCATTTGAAGACTCAAACTGTTATAAGTTCGATTAATAGCATAGGGGTATAAAAGACGTTTGAAAATAATTAAAAAAAGTGTTACAAAGCTTAAAAAAAAGGCTAACTCATCATCACATAAAACGAGTTGCTTAGGTGGAACAAAAGTCAATGAATGTCAATTGATAGACATAATATAAAGAAGTGAATCTAATGATTAATTGTGTTAATGGTCTTACGTCTAATTATCTTTTATCACACATAATTATCTAAAATTGGATAAATTACATCCCAACATAAATTTCAAATATGTTATATATGGAGGTTTTGTGATTCATATGGATAAAAAAAAATTCCTAAATATTAAATTTTATAGGAAGTCAAAATTGGAAAATCAAAGATACTTGCCTGATTTGCTTTGAAATTTGCTCCATAGATCTTTCAAATCGAAATATAATCGCATCTTTATCCTTATAATTATCCAAACCAATAGCATAATCTACTCATTTTTTTTTTCCTATATATTGACCAAATTCAACCCTTTTACGGTGGAGATTTTTTTTTCTTTTTCCTTAATTAGCAGTATAATTATGATGTTAAAACCTCGAATAAGCAACCAAATTAAAAAAACAAAAGGAAGGTTTGACAAAAACAAAAGGCACAAAACTAACTAAAAAAATGAAGAGAGAAGTTGCTAATATGGAGGGAGAAGTTCTGTTCTTATAAATCTGCAATCCATCCAGACATACATTTCGACATACTTTTTGTCACTGCAAAAGTGTGAACTACCCAACTTTGCTCGGGAACAAAACAATGACTAACAATCGGAACACGAAATTCGTTACTTTCTACCTGAAAACAAGGGAAGAAACGACGATATATTTTCTCCTCCTGCAAAAGGAGAAAGAATCGATGTACAACAAATACAAACCAATCAACTCATTACTTATTTATGTACCAGAAGCTACAGAAGAGATCCAAATGAATATTTCCAGAGTAAAATTATGACAATCATATCAATTCAATGGAGGATTGAGCCCCAAGTGCAACCTTGATGAAGACATCCTCCAATGTGGTGTCAGCTAGACCCCATGCGAAAACTGTGAACCTGCTCTTTGCGTTCTCAACTGCTTCAAACACATCTGTAATTCTGACCTCATGTTTTGGCAACTCAAACTTCTGGGTTCCGGATAGATGGTATATCCTGTTAGCACTTGGGGAGAGACGCCGCACCAAGTTCTCCACCTCTTGCTCGTGATTCGAAGATGTTGTCATTGTGAACACATAAGATCCTCCATATCTTGCTTTCAGCTGAGTACACCATTGTAGTAACAAGAGTATTATGCAGAAAGTGTCTAGAAACTCTATCTTATGCACATACTATGGCACTAAGTTAAGATACCTCTTTCGGGTTTCCTATGCACTGCAAGCTACCATCCACAAAAACTCCTAACCGATCACACAGAACCTCCGCCTCTTCCATGGAATGTGCTGAAGAATACACAAACAAGATTTATGAGTAAACACAGAAGCAAAAGTGGTCACTATGCGGGTTACTTAACACCACTCCATACAGTACTAAGCCATCATAGATTTTATAATTGGCAATACAGTAACTGGAGGGGAGGAAGGGGGAGAGAGAGTACTGGTTAGGATGATTGCCCGGTCTTGTTTTGCACGCTTCACAGCAGTCCATAAGTTGTTTCTTGAAGCTGGATCAAGTCCAGTACTGGGCTCATCCATGTAAACAACCTACAAGGAATTTGTAAAAGAACATGCAATAAGTAGAGCAGCATCTTGAGATAACAGATCTAACTTTCAAGCCAAAGTAGCTTTGATAGAGCACGAAGACATACTTTGGGATCCCCTATAAGTGAAATTGCAACGCTAAGCCTTCTCTTCATGCCTCCACTATACTTTCCAGCTTGTTTGTCTGCAACCCCACCGTGAAATAGATTGACACTTTTCAAAGATTCTTCCACTGCCTTCAGCAACAAAATTGGCACGTGAGACAAATCAATTAAACTTAGGATCTTATTCTCAAAATAATAATTGCGGTGACTATATCTATATAATTAGATATCTACTTACTTGTATTAATACAGAACCTTTGAGGTTCTTAAGTCTTCCATAGAATAGCACATGCTCCCTTCCTGTCAGGGTTTCCCATAACAGGCTAACAAATGTCCGCAAAACCAAGAAATTAATCAGGTTTTAAATCTTTATACGAAAACTTTGCCTTAAGCATAAGGAAACAGTTCCATCTTACTCATGCTGTGGACAAACACCCATGCTGGTGTATATTTCATCCATCTGAGTCCGGATGTCCAGACCCTGAATGTATGCAGTGCCAGAGGTTGACTTTGTGAGACCAATCATCTGCAGAAAGATAGATACACATAACTTTTAAAGTTTTGAAGAACAAAGAAAGCATAACAGCGAAGACCCTTTTTTGATACACACTGGAATTTTTGTGTACGTAAGTTAAAGTTTAAAAAGAGTATACTCACCATACTGATAAAAGAGGTCTTCCCAGCACCATTAGGGCCAAGCATACCAAAGCACTCCCCTCGAGACAAAGCAAGAGACAACCCTCTCACTGCAAATTTTTCCGGGTTTCCGTCTCTTCCAGGATAAACCTTCTTGAGGTTGTCGCAGATGACTGAATGAGTTGTATCTGAATCCAGTAGCAATTTTTCAACCTTCTCCCTCTGGACATAAGGTCTTAGCGTTATCCAGGCTTACAACTCTAGCCTCAACTTAGTAAGATGAAAAAACATAAAGATATGACAGGCATGCATGAACAGTGCAACTTATAAGCATCAATAAGAGTAAGGAGAAATATTATCTTTCCACCTAAATAAACTGAAAAGTTATTAGAACAATTTGTACCATCCATTGTATTGCATCACATAAACTATACCAGCAATGAAGATTTATTGTTTAAGTGCAAGAAAAAGTTACCTCTTGACAGACATCAGGTTTCTCCATCTCAATAGAAACTTTAGATCCCTGCCTTTGCAAACTACGCATCCTAAGAGATGGTAGTTTCTTCTTCCTAAAGCGTTGGAAGCAAAAGAAAGTACCTTTCCCTGTTCCTAATGATACAGCTTGATCTACGTAATATGCAAAAAGAAGCACGACAAACCACTCGACAACCATGATAATCAATACCTCTGTCATCCCATTCTTGCTATCACTCAAATCTCCCCACCGCATCCCATCAGTCCCCATGTAATTCCCGTTAAACGAATATTGTGCAAACTCATATAACCCACGATATAAAGAGAAGCCAGGATATAGCTCCAGAACGATGATCCAACCTCCTACAACAACGCAAAATAACCTTATAAGGAGCTGAGCTTTGAGAAGTACAAAATATGTTGCATGATATAAGTTTTCAACAGGAAATAGTTCTGGCAGAAACAAACAAAACAAGGCGATAGATATTTTCATAAATTTTTTTCACTTACTAGGGAATGATGTATCTTGAACAAAAAATTGAAAAAGAAAGCCTCCTAAAAGCCCAGTTCCAAAGACAAATATGTAACCTATAACTGTTATGATCAGAAAATATGAGAAGCATGTCAATTAACTCATCTTATTAGATCAAAGTTGAGAATAACCCACTACTTTCCATACGAATATAAATAAACAACATCAAACCTGTAGCAGTCTTCACGTCTGAAAACATTGCAGCTACTAGAAAAGCCAGCGATATTTGCAGGTTTATATAAATGAAGTAAAATATAAATTGGATGCTGTAGTCATTCAGTGAGAAGAATTTTAACCCTGTAATGAAGTCAACTTAGTTAAAGGAATCGAAGTGAATCCATGCCGAGATAGTTGTTAAGTAGTCGTATCATTACCTATACCCGAGCCAAATATCACAAAGCACAGCATGTAGATTGAAGATACTGTAAGAAAATAAGTATAAGAAATCATCCAATAAGGCCCATCACCAAGCCCATGCATTTTCATCATGATTCTCAGTTTCTGTTGCCTCTCGTATACCAGTGATGTCAAAACAACCTACATCAGAAAAGGGTAAGAAAGGGAAACTATAAGTATGTATACTCATACATCAAAATTTGTACATAGCATCAAGATAAGCTTGAGCAAAGGAGACGTGTTTACAAATACATTAGAACAGAATATAGTGAAATATCATTTCCACAATACATTGAATTTGAAATCAAAAGATGTAAAGCACAATCCATGTCAACAAATAGGACTGTTAAATTTGAGAAAGTCCTAATATGCATGAAAGGAGCTTCTTGTATTTACCGGGAACAGCTGTAGAATGACCCATGTAAAGAAGAGTGTACCAAGAAGAGAAGAAAAATCCAGCCTCAGTTTGGTTTCAGGCTTGGGCATTTCTTTCACAAACTCAAACAGCATTTCCGTACCAAATCCTTGTACAAACTGAAGGTATGCATTGGATGCCTGTGAATACAAGTGTTAGCACTATTGTAATCTGCAGCAGAGAAGAAAACTCAACAAGCAAAGAAGCTATAGGTACATACCAGATTCACTGAGCGTGGAAGCCGCATCAAAGCAATAGCACCTCTTCCCCTGTCATTCTTAAATGTTGAATTGTACCATATGCTTACATTAAAATTGTTCCCATTTGAGTTAGAGAAGTCATAGGCTGAAAATATAAAATAAAATAATAAAAAAATAAAAAAAAAACTCATCAGTATTCGTGCCGACAGTGTAGTTCTTTAATTAAATCAATCAACACAGCCAGATATATGAAGTCGATGACCTGAAAGTATTTCATTAATCTTCCTCTCTGAATTGCTCTTTTCGTAACCTTTATACAGCTCACTGTTTATCTCAGACGAACTATCACGCCACAAATGTAAACCTTGAACACATCTAACCTCTGGGTTTAAGAAAAAAATCAAAGACAATGGTTTAAGGTAGCATGCAACAAAAAATTAAACTTTCAAGTGAATTCAACAATCAATGTTCACTCATATGAATGCAGCACAGATGTGCACCAGAGAGAATTAAAGCTTCCTAAGATATATTATAGATGATTTACCTTGTTGGATCTTGATGGATAATATGTTAATTGGAACAGAAAATGTAGAGTTTTGTGAGCATTGGCTCTGAACACTATACAGGGGAAGACCCGAATTGAAAGCCGGATCAAGGAAGTTGGAATAGTCAGGGGTCGATTCTGAGCCCTGAAACATTTCATAAGAAGTGACTTCATAAGCAAAGCTGAAAATTTTTACAAGGACAAAGTAATGTATGATATTTGAGATAAAAAAAAAGGAAATAGGACTTCAATATAAAAGGAAAAAGTAGCAGCTTAGAGAAAAGATAACTTACTAAAGCACTACGGGCTAAATAATCCAGACCAGATGAATTCAGAGTAGAACTTCTGAACATACTCCCAGCCAAAACTAAAAGAACGCAAAGAAAACGGTCAGCACTATTATACTAGAGCGAAAAAGAAGTCAATCCAATTACAACAATTAATGATTTAATTAAGTCATAAAAGTCATTGAAATAAAAAAATTGACATGCTAAAACAGACCTTCTCTGAGAGATTCAGAGGACAATACCTTCTCCGAGGGATTGATTTTTCCCCGTGAACAGTACAGTTACAGGACAGGATCCTGACCTCTTACATAACACATTTGGCAAGTCTTTATGTGGAATAACATCAGACATAACAGCGCGATAGTCAGGAGCCGGCACTTGTAGCAATGGAGGCCATTGTGGAGGATCAGGAACTGGGCAACTGGGCCCTTGTGTTAAAGTTGAGTATTCCAGTCCACAAACTTTCTCACACTTTCCATCGCCGTTTGTATCAACACAACTGCAACCACACCTGTTTTCAGGCTTATCCAGTTCATTGTTGACCAAATGTTGGATGAGCACAAGCAATAGACACAGGAGAATTGGAAATGAAACTAGCCGAATGTTCTGTTTGATATTTCTTTTCTGCATAAATGAACACATAAATGGTATCAGTCTGTATCCAAGTTGAACAATACACGTTTTTTAAATCTACTCAATTTTCTTCAACTTTGATTCCATGGTTGATTGTTTTAGAGCGGAGAATCGGCATTCAAAGTTTAGGCTTTTAATTGTCATCAGATTTTATACAAAGCATTATTTGTAGAACTCACAAAACCAGAACGACCCAATTGACCATTGCTCATACACAAGAAAAATAACTTACCAAATAACAAAAATAAACAATCTGGCACAAATTAACCAATAATTTACTAAACTAAAACGAACCCAGAAAGTAAAAATGTGCGACAAAGTAAGAGAATCTCCAACATATGTGGCAAAAATGGAAAATGCATATGAAAAAGAAAACAAAAGGGGAAAAGCAAAGAATGAAAACCCAGAATTCTGCGTACGAATTTTTAAATTATTCTACAATTTTCCTCAGTTTTCAGACATCAAACTAAAACGATTCCCAAACGAGAAGAGAGAGAGAGAGAGAGAGAGAGAGAGAGAGATAGAGAGAGTGAGAGAGGGCACCTGGAAAGTTAGGTTCTTTCTGAGCAGAGCATTGGCCTGAGTCCAGAAGCTGGCAGGCCCATGGGATGTATCCGCCATTGAATTACGGCCGCTGGTAAGCAAGAAATGTGACCGTTAATCTCAACTTCCAAAACAGTAAAACCCCAGAATTCAAATTTCCCACTGAAGATTAAATCTTTGTCATCTCATTGCTGCAACTTTCTTCGCTCTGAGAATTTGCTCCGCTGCTGCTGCAGCTGATATGATATGGGCAATTGGAATTTGGAAAGGAAACCGCTTTTTGTTATTACACGCCAAGCGGCCTTATGTTATCCTACGCTGCTGATCTATCCCTTCGTTAAAATTACCATCCTGCCCTTTGCCGCGTTTCTTACTCTCAACAACAAAAATTTCTTTAATTTTTGTTATTTTAATGCTTTATTATTTTTTGTTCGTTATTTTTTTCTCAACAATGGAAAAAGGGTGGGAGATTGAGTTAAGCAACCTAATAGGCTAATCATAATATGATCTTGTATTAATTGGAAAAAATATTACTAAATCATAATATTAGTGATTAAACTTATATTGTAATAGATCTGCTAAACTTATTAAACCGTAATATTAGTAACAATTTTTTTGTTAAACAATAAGGAGTTGAGTCCACTCTCCGTATTACTAATTTGTTTTAAAGTGAAAAATGAGCAGCCGTTTAGGAGGAAGCATCTGTTTGATCACACAAGGGAAGACTCGAGGGTACCCTTGTATAATTCCCACGTTCCATTTTGTTGCTTGAGCTACGGTGGTGGTCCTCAAGCTAATGAATGCGTTTGGTTTTATCTTTATGTTTTTTTTTTTTTTGGAATGCATGAAATACGTATGAACGAGGGAATAAGGAAAATTTTTAGGGAGTTTTAATGAAACACTCCCGGCACTGTTCACTTTTAATGAAAAATCACATTTTTACCTTTTATTGGTACTATTCACTATACTTTTATTTGTCATTTTTCATTAAAACTAAAGTTTTTTTTAACTTTCGTTTAGTTTTCCTTAATTTTTTTTTACTAAAATTGGAATTTGAAACAAATTAAAAGAAATTGATAAATTCTACTTAGACCACGGGACACCTTTAGTAGTGAGGGAACTCCTCTGTTTTTAGCTTAACCCTAACATTAATTCAACAACTCAGCAAAGAAACTAGAAATCAGATCATTAGAACAGGAATCTGGTCTACTTTGTTTAAGAACATATATAATAATAGGCTCCAAGAAATTGAAGCATTAATTTATATATTCCATCTTCCTTAAGGTTCAAGTTAACGAAAAAATCTTTAGGGGCCATTTGGTATTTTTATTGGACTCAATTCTTAATTTCTAAGAATGATAAACGTAGCGAAATTACTAGTATTTATTAGTTTCAAAAACAAAAAATTAAATCCAAGAAGAATACAAAACACGCCCTTAATCTTTAGGTATAAAAACATTTTTGTAGATATTACCTTTGTTTCGCAAGTAAAAAACCACATAAAAGTTCCCCAATATTTCTCGAGAAGTGCTTTTTACGCACTCTTTTTAACTTCACACATACCCTTCCATATTTATGGCCATCAGATTAATAAATCAAACGAAATCAACAACCAGAATTAAACAGGAATGCCTAAGAGACTATAAAGGGTGTGAAAATCATCTCCCCATTTTTATTTAACTGCATATTTTAATTGAAAGAAATAATCTCCCTGGCATTTTTTGAGTGTACAAGCTGTGTAAAACTCAAAGGCACAACAAAATACAGAATCAGTCAGCCACTTGCAAGCATTACAAATGATCAAGTTCGCAGCATGAAGCAGAGCATACACGAAAGTGCAGATAAACTGATAATCCTCTATACAATACACGTTACGAATGGCCAGAAATCGCGTCGTAAGACTGAATAAATCAACCATGTCTGAGACTTAATGCATGAAACCTATGATGTACATTCACTCATCAAATATCACAAACGCGGACAAATCACGAGAGGCTCTTGGCTGATGGCCACAGCCTTCTAAACTACAGACGCCGTTACAGTTTAAAAACACTTTGAATCACAAAATGCGTAAAAATAAAGAACCGAGACGAATGACTGACACTTTATATTGAAAATCACCTTATCGGTCACCTCCTCCACTCTGTTTGGGTTACCTTTCCTGCAAAGTCAAACAAGAACCAAGGTGATTGGTACGAGAAACAGAATTCAACCTTTTTTTAAGGTAAATCATCACGCATGTTGAGAACTCTAATAGAGAATTAAAAAGATCAACTTCCTTGTGAAGAACAATAAAGCAATGCATCAATGCATATGTATCGACGGGTTTGAAAGATTATGCCCCATCTTCCAGAGCAATGTAGAATTGGAAAGCAAGAATCAGTCTATTAAGGATGCGAAATCATACCAATTCCATCTCTCGAAGTTGCCCGAGGTTTGTCACTTTTATTTCCTCCTTTGCCACCTGTTTGAACAAGTCGATGCATCCTTGGCGATTGTGAGCTTATGTTGGTATTAGTTGCTGATGGCAGAGAATGACGACGAGTAGAATTATTTTTCTCAGTCACGTCTTGTGCCAACCTAGGGGAGCCTTGTGCTCTCAGCTTTGCCTTTGCAGATTCAGTTGCAGCCATATAACTTGGTACTGTTGGACTGCTTTGCAACCCATTCTCTGAACGTTCTTGTTTTGCTGGAGTAGAAGCTTTCCTGCTAGATTTCTGGTTGTCATTGGTTGTTAAATCTTCCCTTTGGCTCAAAACCCCGTTTGAGGATGAGATATTTTCATCCTGACCATTGCTCTCTGTTAAAATCTTCGACTCAATTGCAGCTTCAGCGCTAGGTGTATTCACATCTTTACTAGTGCTATCTGTCAAAGGCTTCAGATCTTCTGCAGCTTGATCAATATATGACAGGTTAAATACCTCTTTTGGTGCCGATGGTTCAGGAGTTATTTCTGTATCAGGCCGACTGGATGGAATCCAGGTTAGCTCTTTCTTAAACTTCTCGACAGAGTTACTAGTACCTTCAAGAACATCAGGAACCAAAGTGCTTGATGCCTTTTCCAAACTCTGTTTGATACCCTCAGCTTCACTTTCTGCCTGCACAGAGTTCTCTACAATGGGAATATGAACCTTCCTCAAATTACGTTTAACCTTTTCAAGCTCAACTTGTGGGTTTTCCTGCACTGCATCTGTAGGATTGCTAGGAACTTTCCTAAGGTTACGCTTGGGTTTCTCAAATTCAGAGGTTGCTTGCACTGAGACACTTTCAACATTTGCAGAAGAAAGCCTCCGGCTGTTGCGCCTTACCCTGACTGTTTGAGCCTCCGGGTGCTTTCTTTGAGATTTTGAATCTAGAACTTTCCTTGGTTGGGGAACTGGTTTCCAAAAATGGGTTGCTGACCATCGTTCCAACCAGTTTGAAACTGAATTTGGATTCCCAGGTTCATATTGCAAACTCAGCGGCATCACAGTAGGTGAGAAAGCAAGAAGCTGAAAAGAGAAAACCAAACTGTTGGAACATCTCATACAAACCGGACACAGACACAGAAACTGATACGACAAATTATGATTCAAATCTAGACCATTGTTACAAAGTTGAACTTACCTTGAGAATGAAAACATTTGCTGACAGCTTTGCCATTTGAACTGACGTATTAACTCCAACAGGATTCACTAGCTTGCCCTCCTGATAGACAAAATATATGAGGAATATAATTAAAAGGTGGCGCTAAGGAATCTAAAAAATATCTAGCCTAATGATATTAGCAACAACGTAGCGGGTGAATGAACCTAGATGTCTTCGTATATTATCCAATAGCAGTTGCAAAGCTATTTGGGGATGGAGAAAAGAAGGGGACTGTGACGTCCCTTGTTCAAAGATGACAGTAACAAATTGTAATTGATAAACGACCAAGTATTTGAGGCATTTACCAGAGGCATCACACTGCATATCTTTTGCACTTCCAGCCCAACATCAGACTGTCTCACCCGTTTTCCACGAGCAAGTGCCTGACACTTGACAATGCTCGCCATACTGAACAAAGTAGCAACAGCTTGTCTCCGAACCAGGTGCCCCCGGATAAGTGCCTGTAACCTTATTATTCCTTTGAGGGCCCAAAATGCTCGGCGTGCCTTCAGATAATATACCAATTCTTTCAGTAATTTGTGATCTCAACTAAAAAAAATTGATACAACAAGCATTAGACAAAACAAACAAACTTAATTCACTGACTTACTAGATAACCCCTAAAGGCAGCCTGCGCCTTTGTTGCAGCTTGCTCTTGCCTGATTCTCTCAGGATCATGCGCCACATCTTGTGGCACGGGTCCTTGTGTTTCTGTACTTTGAATTCCTGGACCTCCATCACTTAATACACTTGGAGTTTCCTTGTTCTCCAATTCTAAGTCTCGGTTGTTATCTATGGTGTTGGTGGTTTCATGAAAAGCCACAGGTGGATCTGAAGAATAATCAGCTCCGGTTGCCCTGGCAGCAATCACCACCTCTTTCTGATTTGTAATTTTCTATACACAATGGCGAAAGACATAAATATAGAATCTGTGTAAGTTATTACGTTAATTACATAAGGGGAAACTTATGAAATTGAAGAGATAACTTAGATGCAAAGGGCAACCTATGAAAATTAAAGTGGAGTATGCTTTATGTCAATATTAAAGGAAGCGTTTGAGAATAATGTGTCAGCTCTATAACGATTGTTTTACCTCTCTTCCTTTAGGAATGCCGGCTTTCGAAGATTTCTTTCCAAACAGCACCGTTTTGATCCATTTGGCCGGTGATTTGCCCATCTCGCGAAGGCCAAGAGCCTGAAAAATCCTGAATTGCAAATTGAGTAAACGAAATCAAACCGAATTCATGTCATTCACTCCGACAACAAAAAGAAGACAAATAACGAAGCAATGCAATCTCGCAGTTTCCAAAAACCAAACATGTTTTCAATATCTGCCCGGTTCTTCCATATGAATCAAAATACACACCAAAAGAGCAACACACGGAGAGATCCTCAAAACATTCCGCTCCCGATCTCAACCGACACCCCCAACCTTCAAACTGAAATTCACTAAAACCTTGAAGAAAGACAATTCCCAACGTCCCATTCCTCATTGAGATCTTCAACTAATGCACTAAACGTTACACTCAACATCCATTAATGGCAGCATCAATGCAATCACTTAAAGTCAATTGAGGTTACAGGAAATCTAGAGCTCCATTAACTTACATTAATTAAGATAACATCTCCACAACAATTAGCATTAACCAAAAACTCCAGAAAACACCACTAAGCAAATCACACCACTTTCACTTAAATCCAACTTAAAACTCCAACAACCCACAAGATCTTACAACTCAATTAACTTGCTAATTATATAAGGCTGAGTTAAACCAGATCTGAAACTTACCTCACAAATGTGGACCTTCAAAACCCCAAATCTACAATTCCTGAAGGAAAAATAAAAACAGAAACCCAATATTTTTCAGGCAAAATTAGCAAAACCCAGAAAAAAAAGATTTGAGCTTTCTGCAACAGAATGCAAAACAGATTGAAGATTTGCACAGAAATTGATGGAACAAGGAAGGAAAAAAATGTACCATGAGTGAGAGAGAGTCTGCAGAAAACCCAGAAAAAAATATGTTCTAAATATAAAAAAATATGAAAAAGCTTCAGCCTTTGCTTTCTACTCTCTGTACTTTGCAGTTCAAAAAATTGGGTGACTACAAAAAACAAAAATCAAGTGCGGTTAGGTCCAGGATAACGAAATGGGATCGTTTATGATTGGCTAATTAAACCGAATATTTTCATATTGCAGTACCTGATGGGTTGGATTTGGAGTTGTATTGTAATCCCAGGGTCACAAATGTAAGCTTACTATGGGGATGGTTGTAGAGGATTATAGGGTAGGAATAACAGACGATGCGTCGGCAGTCCCGAGCGTGCAGTTTCCCAGTTGCTTCGAAACCAAGGGTGCCAGCGTCCTTATATATTCCCAAGCATGGTGAAATGTCGATTTTGTCCTTCCAAGTAAATCGAATCGGAGGCGCGGTTGCGCGCGTGAATTAACAGCGTCCGTTAGATTAGGCGGCAGAGGTCAAACGGAGTCAAGAGTGTGATGACTTGCTGGCTGCTCTCCCCCTCTTTTACTTATACATATTTTCAGACTGCATTACCTGATGGGTTCGATTTTACTTATACATGTTTGTTGTAACTAATAGATAGATCCATACCAAGAGCATATCTCACTTTGAAACAATCTTATAACGGTGATTTTTACACGCTATTTTTTTCGTTTGTGTACCTTGTTAGCAGAGGCATACAAACAAGAAAAGAGACTGCAAAAGTCGTTTCCTTTACTTATCATAAATTATAATTTGAGAGAAAAATACTTGGCCTAGACCACAATGAGACAGTCATAAGTATATATCAAACTTGCTATCTAGATGAGTCGAATACATTGTCTAAAATATCGATATCGGTTGCCTTCAACGAAAATTATGAAAATATGCAATGGATTGGTATATCAACTCATTCAGATTTAGTCGAAATCAAAGAAAAATTCAAAAGTTCAAAGTCTGCAATGGGTTCTATCAAAACTTATGGAGTAAAACGGTAAATATTGTTGATGTTCGTTGATTTTCCTATATCTTGCCAATCCAAGGTGAAGTTTGCATTTTAATCACTATTCTCATATCGATTTTTTATTTTTCGGATATCTTTACGAAAATATCGACAATTTTGTAAATTTTTCTTTTTTAACAAGCGATATTATTTACATTAAAAGGGGAGGGGATTGGCTTAGCCTCACAATAAGCTATCAATAATGTGGTTCAAATTCGTCTTTGGAGAAAATCAAATATAAGACCTTCTATTTACAAATAAAGATGAATACCACTAGACTATAATACTAAGTGGCAATTTTGTAAATATTTTAAACATTGAGCGAATATGAAACATTCACTTACAAATGCATTTACATCTAATAGGTTTGTTGAAATATTTAAAATTTTTGTGGCCCTTTGCGGTGTACCGTTTAAAATCGCATATCACAAGATATACATGTATAGGACATGTCATCTACCAACCCAACCATTAAATTGAATGCCATGGCTGCCACAATGGTAAAGGCAATGCCCTACCAAATCATGTATATAGTTAGGATCAAGTTGTCAATCCAACCAACAAAGATAAATAGTAATTACACTACACTAGTAGGACAATTTCGCATAAGATAAAATTTTGACCCTTATTGGTTACAATTTCATATTCTTACGCAGGATCACTAATAATGCGACACATGTTTTATTGTTTTTAAATTTCATTAACAATTGAATTTTTATGTAGATAAAATTTTCAGTAAAAACTTCACGTTGTCAGACTTGTAGGATTTTCCAATAAGACCAACTCTAATAATTGGGGTTAAAGCTTGAATTTTTAGCCCATAAAATTCATATTCGATCTCATTCATCGAATTTAATGTATTTATAAGTTTGATTTATAATAAAAAAAATCTGGACAGTTGAATCAACCAATTGTTCAACCACGTGGGACATCCGATAAAAAAAATAGTCATTGGTCTTTCTGCAAGTGGCTGACATCGCCAACTTCTGAGTTCCACAGTTAGGTCCCAACTACTATCCTCGACTCATTTTCTAGGCTAAATTTGGCCAAAAAATAACTCTTAAACATTTTTTAACCCAATTATTGGAGAAGCTTTGAGGGGTTTGAAACTCAAATTTTGATTTTTAACCAAACCATTGGAGTTGGTCTAATAAATGGGGGATGGACCAAGCAAAGGGGATGTGCGCGTGATCACACCTATTTCGTGTTTGGCCCAATGGGCTGGAGAGTCTCACCCATCATGCATGTCCAAGCCCATTCCAAAAGCAAGTGCGACCCAAATGACAAAGAAAGCGGAAAAAGATCCTCGTCGGATCCTTTTTCTGGAAATCTGCGGGATTCCATGATCATGTCCATTCATGATATATCATACGGTCAGTTTTTATTAAATACTATTTATGTTTAATTTAAATTTTAATAATTTCTGATTTCACCATGTATCATAAACGAACATGATCATGGAATCACTCGGATCAACCCAAAGAAAACAACATTTTATTTATTTATTTTTTAATTTTTGACCGGGAGACAAAAGGTAAAAGCTGAAAAAACGCCATCCGTCTACGACCTGGTTTGGTACTGAGGTGATTCTGAAAAAAGGTGCTCTAAAAAAAAGCTGGGAGCTGTTTTTGTGTTTGGTAAACACTCAGCTTCAGCTTTTTTTTCACAGTTTTGGATGAAAAAAAGCCAAAAACAAGAAGCTGCAAAACCTAGCTTTGAAAAACTGGCTTTTTTTCACATCTGTTTTACATAAAAGTTTACCAAACACTCTAATACTACTTTTTTTTTTCAAAAGCACTTTTACAAAAAAATTTACCAAACACTCTGCTGCTTTATTTCACAGCTGCTTATTCTCACAGCACAACAGAAACAGTTTTTTTTCAAAGCACAGCAATACCAAACTAGTCCTACCTCTTCTAAATTCTCAACCGCAAAAGCAGTTTTAACGGCTCGCGATTTGAAATTCGAAATTTCGAATTTTATCTCCTAAAATTATAAAATCAACGGGCCCCGTGAGGCGCCAGCCGTTACCTTCATCATCACACGCGTGAGTCGTCCACGCGTCCACATCAGATCGTAGATCCCATCCGCTCCAAAGTCCGCTGACTAAGGCCACTGTGGCGAACAATATTCTGACACGTGGATAATGTTCAGGACATGCTCGCATAAGAACGCGAGTAGGGGAGATTCCGTCGTTAAGGCGCGTGTGGCAGAATTTGAGTTTGCCTTGTGGGTATTCCTACAGTATTCCCGCCCAAACAATTAACTCAAAAAAAAAAAAAAAAAAAAGGGGAAAAAAAAAAGGAAAAAGAGGGAAATTGAATATAAAAGCCGGTGTCTGATTCATTGCTGCTTACACAAGTGAAGGAAAGAAGAAGAATTTCGAAAAATCAATCGATTCATCGATCGAATGGAGGAGCCACAATCTGCACAATCTGCCCAGTCTGGTAAATTCAAAATCTTTGTGGGGTTTGTTTTGTGGATTTTATGAAAATTGTTGTGAAATTGGGGTGTGGGTGCTGGTTGTTTCAGGAAAGCTTCTTCGGTATGCTCTCCGTTCGGGGACTAAATCGAAGGAGGAGAAGCCGCCGGTGGCGGCCACTGAACCCTCCTCTAACAATTCTGCCACCAAGAGGTATGATTTGACGATGGCGATGTGATAGGGCTGATGTTTTATATGATTCCACTTGCAATTTGAATCTGGTGATGGGGATGGTTTCGAGTACATGTTTCGAGGATAGCAGTAAGCAAAGCCATTTAATTGATCAAATTGGGGTGAAAAATCAAATATTGGAGGAAATTTTAGACATGTAAGGTGTCCCCAATTCACAAAAATTGAAAATTTTGATGGTATATTAGCAAATGCTAATTGATTTTAGGGAAACAGAATCAAACTTTTGTTGCGGATAATTGGTGGTACTGCTTGAGCAATGCTGAGTTTGTACTGTGTTTTGCAATCTTTGGCAGTCTATATCTGCTAATTGCTGATAGGTTTTGTCGCTTGAGAATAGAGTTACGCGTTACATTTTTCGGGTTTTGGGGTTACAAAAGTCACTTGTTAAGCTATAGATTAGTCCCAATTCCCTTGTGATTTTTCACCCTGGTTGTGTATTTTCTGCATAAGCAGACTGGTTTTGCTTAGAAACACACGACCGATAATTGGTTGAGGTTTATGTGGGATGTTAACTATGTTTTAGGGGAAGGCCTGCATCAAATATGAGTAAAAGTGTGGGGGTTCTTGATCTCTCTGGCAAGGACAAGCCTGCCAAGCCGACCCGAAGGTTTTCCATTCCTTCCAAGCCGCCCACTACTCCAGCTCCGAAAATTGGTGGCAACATCACTGTGATTTCCGAGGCTAGATCAAGGAGGTCTGTGAGAAGTGACTCCCCAGCTTCTTCTGATGTTTCTAGACCAACAAGCCGGAAGAAGTTCAATGTTCTGGCCTCACCATCTTACTGGCTGCAGCAGATTAAGCTGTCTGAGGCTGCTGGCAAGCACTCGATTTCACTCGGGTTTTTCAAACTAGCCTTGGAGGCTGAATGTGAGGTACAACTTGTGTGTCCCATTGTTTCAATTTCCCATTTCACCTGCTTTTGTGGTTGAACATTTGACTTCTTATCCACTATAAATTACATGTCAATGAGAGATGAACTGACTTTGTTGTCGTTTTCAAATTTTTTCAGTCTCTTCAACTGCGTTATGAGCTCAAATCTTATGTTGATCGCTACGAGCTTAGTGACCTCGAAGACCCTCTGAAGGAATTACTGGAGAGCAAAAGTGTTGCAGTAAATGAGCAGGCTCAGGTCTCCGAAACCTGTTCTCAGGTGCCCGAAGAGGGGACCCGATCTTCTGATGATGATGCCAAGAGCTGCTCTTCTACAATGGCAAGTGGGAAACTGAAACCCAAGTCATTGAACATTAAAGCTGCTCAAGTTTCTCCAGAGAAGGCCACAGCCAAGAAGGAGATTGCCTCGAAAAGCACTCCGGCAGCCAGGACCAGGTCATCTTCGGTGAAGAATACTTCGAATTCAGGACCTGTATCTGACAATGGAGCTCGCGTGTCTACTGTGAAGAAACCCCAGAAGCCAAATGTGCAAGATTCTAACAAAGTAAAGGACAGGAAGAAGAAGCAGGGGAATCAAACTGCTTGTGAACAAGGTTAGTGCGTCGAGTGTGTCCTATGTGTAATCATCTTTCCTTGTTACTTTGGTGTGCATTATTTGATGGTTCAACGTTGCCGCAGACTCAATTAACCCTGCTGCAGAAGGACTTCAGGAGAACAAAGAAAACCAGGTGAATTTAATTTTGTTTGTTCACCATGATTTCGCATAATCAGTTAGCCTTGTTTGTTACACTACGATTTGATTTGCTCTAAACTCTTCTGAAATGAATCGGCTTCTTGACGTTTAGAGAAATCTTATTTGATTAACACTGACAGTATCTTTATCTGTCTGCTGTAGGATGCTCCCTCAACGGAAGCTATCAATGTGACTGAAGTGTAAACATACAGAAAATGTTGATGCCTGTTCTCATGTTCTTGTTGGGTTTGTCTTCATTTTGTTCATTGTGAGGGTTTCCTGTGTAAAGATTTCGGATCGGAGGCTCAAAGTTTTTTGGTCTATAAGCTAAACAGTAGTATTTGTCTACGGTTGGATTAAAACCGGGCTTTGTTTGGTTATTGTGATACAGTTTGCTGGTGATGTCTTGTGCTGAACCAAAGTATTTGATGGTCAAGTCTGTACTATTTTCTGGCATAATCTTGTATTTTTTAGCTTAGGTATAGTTTGTGATTTCTTTTTATCCGAGCTTTTGCGATTTTTTCTTTTCTTTTCTGCAGTATAGTAACCTGTGATTTATGTTCTGGATTGAATTGCAAATCAGAATGTCATGATTCAAAATAAATAATTCATGTTTCAAGCCATGCTAGGCATAAACCAGACCGGACGCGGCCAAACATACATGAATCCACTCAATTCACATCCGAGCGGCTCAATTTTTCTGTCTTCCATGCTAAATACTCCCGAATCGTGGCCAACCATCAAGCTATCTTCCATGTCCAAACTATCGTCAGTGAAATAGATACAGTTGGGTTTTATTAGCCCCTTGAAATCTTGAGCTTTAATGGCGGTAGTGTGGTTATGCCCCACGAAAATTGTCCACTCCCCTAAGACATTGATGGGTTCCCATTCGCTATCAAACTGATCATACCTGTAAGCCTCAAAGTCGTAAGTCTCATGGCCGTAACGGGGGTTGTCCTGCACAAATCTTATCAGCATCACGAGCTCTCCGCCAATGCCGACAAGATAGACTTTGCCTCCTTTGAAGGTAAAAGGGGGAGCGATTTCATCAACGCTCGGCGAAAAACAGCCATCGTCATCAAGATTGCACGAAACGAGCTTTCCAATCTCAGTAGTGGCAAGCAACTCCTCCCCGTTAAACAAAATAATGTCTTCATAGTTATTCCCCGCATCTTGTAGCACTGTCCATGTCTTGTCCCTCGCTTTGTAGCATATGAGCCTTCGCTTCTCTCCGAAAATCGCCAACACTTTGTAATCAAACGGATCGCGAGAAGGGTCTGAGGATAGCACAGCTTTGTGAAGAACACGTGAAGGGTCTTGATCGTAAAACGGAGAGGAGGAGAGCTGTGGGAGAGCGATTTGGGCGCGGTTGAGAGGGTTGAGGAGGGTGACCAACGACGTGGTTTCATCGCGCAAGATTAGCCACCCCGATGACGAGCCACATACAGTCTTTTCAAAAGCCTCCGGCAGTTCGAGACAGTGGGTTTGGTGGGTGTAAAGGCTGAAGAAACACTTCAGGTTTTGGTTTTCGTAAGCTTCAGCGCCTTCATGAACGTCGTGGTGGTGGTGACGGTGGTGGTCGGGAAGCATGAGCCATGGGAAGTCGAGAGGGAGAGGATTGTGGGCAAGGTCGACCAACATGTTGGGTAGTGAACGAATATTAGGGTTTGATTTCTGGAGATGACAAAGCTACGTACAAGCTAGGTAATGGAAGTTCTGAATAATGATGGAACGAGTCTGAAGATATATACACACACACACACAGTGGAGTTCCCAAATAGCTTGGACCAGGAGAAGTGACCGCTTTATTAAGTTTTGATTACTTGTTTGGGAAGTTCATCATATATAAACAGTAGAACTTAGGGCTGAAGTTTGGAAAGTCCAAAATATACTTTTATAGTGAATCGTGGATTTTTACAATATAGTGCAAAACATTCTTTGTAATTATAGAACGACATAAAAAGTTTTTTACTATCAATAATTGACTAGAGCAGATGGGTAGGAGAGGTTTTTTAGATTTGAATAAATAGTTTCGTCTTTTAGAAAACAAATCATAACTTATATTAAATATTTTCGCTTCTAATTGTATCGAGATCTTTTGTATAAAAACTCTACATCTATTGATTGCACTGTCCCACATCAGATTACACGGGCACAATTTGATGCGTCTCTTTAAAACTCTTTAACTTTTTCGAACAATCTAGCTATTGAATTGTTTTTTTGTATAATATTTATACTTTCAAAGTACAACGTAAAAAATTTGAAAATTTGTGTCCTCTGTTAAAATCACGTAAACTTAAAGGTGGAGGAAAGGGATCCTCTCCGGATTCCTTCCACCAAATTCACCCAATCATCTAATTCAGATTCTTGACATTTGATCAAACAGCTAAAGTTATTATCACTTTTAAAAGAACCCCCTGTTTTTAGCCGTTTGATCAAATTTCAAAAGTTCGGATTGATTGATTGGGCGGATTTGGTGGAAGAAATTCAAAAATGATCTCTTTCCAAAGGTGGAGGATGTAAAAATGCACTTAATTCAAAAAATAAAAATAAAACAAAGAAAACTTGGACTTCCGTCAACTGAGCCCTAATTTTTACTGATTATATGAGAAATTAAATTTTCTAAACATATAGTTAAAACTTAATTAACCTAGCTAATTAATTTTCTTTTCTTTCTTTCTTCTGTTTATAAATTAATTTTCTTTTAGTCGCTTCTTAATTTCTTCTGAATCATGATATTCTCTTCTGCAAACCAATCCCTAACACAAATCACAGACTATGATGCAGAGGAAAAAAAAAAAAATTCACAAACGCTTCGGATAAAAATAAATGACAAACTTTGCTTGAGCTAAAAGATAAACGACTATGCCAGGCAACGCTAACGCTTCATTTTCGTGCATGACAGATGATTCCGAAACTCTTTGAATTGGAATTGGAATGCTTGTTTCCAATCCGACCCAACCAAGAAAAATAATTGCTGGTATTGCAGTAAACCGCTATTTTTTCATTTCAAATTCCGACCCAAGTTCATAACAAACCAATGCAAATGATACACAACACTATATTACATGAGCTTCACCAGTGGCAACTAGCAAGACATATTCTTAAAAGACAAAGCAAGTCCTAAGCGTCGTGATTAGGGAAGAAAACATTGAAAATACAGGATAAATGTTGATAAGTTTGCACAATGATGCTCAGAGTAACAATGCTACTCATAAGATACCTTCGAACAAATTCGGACTGTCCTACAAGCTCTCCCATGATGGGGTTAGTCTGCTGTCCAACTCTGTTCCACAATTTCCCTCACTCTTCGGTTGTACTCACGCTTGTTCTCACTAAACATGCGAGCAGCTTCTGAATTTGCAGGAGAGTTTGGGTTCGGATCACATAGTAGCGACTGCAATAAGCATATGCAAACAGTTAGGATCTTCCCAACGTATACACCGCTGTTTATATTTGTAGGGTACTACTATATCCTTCCTTGAGACACTAAGGTGCAGAAACAAAATTTTAACACCCCAAAGACGATCTCATTTTAGTTATAAGCTTTATAGATGCTTCTTGCCACATGTATACCTGGCTACGTGCTTTTTGAATTCACAAATATAACCAAGGAAACAACAATGCTATGCACACAATCAAACATACCTGGATAGACGTGAGGATAGCTGCCACGTCATATATAGGACTCCATTGATTCTGTAAAATATCCAAACAAATACTTCCATCCGCGTAAACTGACCAAATTTGAAAGAAAATTTGAATTTAGAAACCACAGGAGAAATGTTTAACAATTAACACAAAGCAAATGCTCATATCAAATATTTGTGTGCTCCAACTTACTATTTGGATGAAACATTCTAGAAACAAATCGGACTGTTGGTGGTTTGTTCGGATAATCCTCGGTAAACTGAAGAGTCAACTTAAACGTGCCTGTATAGCTCCAAGGAAAGTTATTTAATGTATATATCAACATAATTAAGCTTATTTAACAGAACTATGCATACAATTGTCACGTCAATGAGAAAAACGGCACAACTACACAAACAAAGGAGGAAATTTATTAGTTATAATTGGAAAGTAAAAAATTTTAAGAACTTGGTGAAATAAATAATACATCCGACTGCGATCTAAATAATTCATCATGATGAAAGTATAAACTCATTAAAATCAAAAGAAACAGAAATAGTGATTCCACGCTATTAACCAGAGCATAACATAAGTTCTGTACAGGCTGTTTGTCTCCAACCCTGAATATAAAATGGTGAATAAAATAGCCCATAAGAACATAATCAAAAGTTCAGTGCAAGGATTAACTGACCTCCATCCCAAGGAGTATCATCCGGACTGCAATCCAAACCAGACAAGAAACGAGAAATTGCTTATCCAACCGTACTTAAACATACCCAAAAAAATGAAATATTAATGTTGCGTAATAGAAGAGAAAACAACAGTAGATTTCTTATACTCATTGCAATTTTCCAACTTACCCAAATATAACAGCATTCCACAGCATTATATTGTTATCATGGGGAGCCCCACTAATCCCTGCAGGCGGGTCCTGTTGCAGCCTCTTGAAGTCTCTCATCAGCCTCTTCCTTGCAGGAGTCGACATCGCTAATTTGCTACCACCTATATATCATCAACCCATTTTAATAAACCGTATTTTAGATTAACTATGCATTGAATGAAACCAATTTCATCTTGTTTTCCAATGCAACATCAAAAACCACTTTTCTACACCACATTGCATACAACAGATATTGGGGCAACTCAATTTGCGCAACGGAAACACATAATTACCAATACAAATACTTTTAATTACGCCGTAGATAGCTCAGCTGAGCTAAGCACAGACATATTCAAATCTCAAGACCTGAAATCAAGCTCAAAAACTGGAAATTTCACTTCAATTAAGCAGCTTCTCAGATGTTTATAAATATGCATGACAACGTAAAGAAGCATCCTTTCTTCACTAATTCAACACCAACAAAAACACCGTAAATTCATATTCAGATTACAAATACTCAGGGTACCAAAAAGCCAATAAAGCTAGACAATTTGACCCCAATCCAACACAAAAATTGAATTTTTCTGTTTATACATGCGCTAACGCCTAAAATATCAATCAATTTTAACAGTAAAATGGAAAATAAATTAAAACAACAGAGATTGAACACAATTTGGGGAAAATTAGAGGAAGATTATCTCACCTGGAGCTCCGAATCTCCGAGAGGTCCCGATCCGAGCAGTCTCCGAATTGGGTTGCTGAAGATGGTAATCAAAGAAGGGGTTTCCGAGGTGGGTTTGATCAGATCGAAGCCGAAGCCATTAGGTTTGGTGGGGAGAGGAACACAGAGCCACTGTGAGGGAGAGAGAGGGTGGAGTTTTGTTTTGTAATTTAGCTTTATTATATCAATATCAAGTGTAAGAATTTGGGAATTTTGTGGTGCGGTTGGGGTCGGTCTACTCAGCACCGTCCCTACATGCTAGCTGCCCTTCCGTTTCTTTGTCAGCTTTTCTCCTAAAAATGTGAAGGGAGGAATATTGTCTCTACCCTTTTTCTTTTTCATTTTTGTGGTGTTTCTATTTCTTTGAGAGGCTCAAGAGCTACCATTCTCATATCATGATCCATCTTTGGGTTGTCATATGATTTGACTGTAAGTATCAAACCTTGCATTCGAGTCAGAGGAGCATTTGTTCTTGCACGTAAAGTTCTGAGTTTGAATTTTGATAATGATACTAGTGTATGGACAATTGTCAACCGTTAATGCATATGAAGTTCATTGTAAAATAAGATAAATTTTAACAGTGTAACATTAACGATAACATTGACACATGATTATATGAATAACTTGTTAGAATTAACATAGAATCCGGCATCATGTGATATGAGTCACAACCATCAAAACACAAACCATATTTCACAACCATTATACATGGAGAACATACATAGAGATGCTTCAGTTCATGATGATGCCATGATCAATATCAGCAACAAAGAACAATCCTCTCCCCAGAAAAGAAAAAAAAAAGGCGCAAACTAATAATGGGTCTTAGTTCAAAATTGAGCATTATATCTGTGAGAACGTAGGCCAGTATATATAAAACACAATCCTATGAAACTAAATTCGTTTCCATAGTAAATTCAGTTTCTTGTTCTTTTAATCCTAGAACAACATGGATTAATAATCCATTCTTATCAAGTCTTTCTATCCAAACTTGAAACCAATAACCGATTCTCCATACTGATACTGATGCTTATTCTTACACAACATTCGTATTAAGGAAAGACAAGTATTAATTGACAATTCATTATCAAATATCATACTTGTACATAGACAACAGTCTCATCGACGAGCATGAGATTCATAGAAAGACATTGCATTCATGAACCAGGAATACAATGTATGGTTTGCTCTTTACAAATTATAATCACACTGTATTCATGACACACCAACCATGCGTTGCTAAAAATGTTGTCATTTCCTCTTGCTCCTTCATTGACTCCCTTACAAGTCACGAGCTAGCTGAAAAAGGATGCAGATCATATCAAGCAAAGAACTTACGGTGGGGCTTGGTTGGGTTTTAATTTCACCTTTTCACCTCGTTTTCATTATGTCTCGTTTTCATTTCGCCACTTTCACATTAAGCGTCGCAGAGCGTTTATCTACCGTCACTGAAGAATATATCCATATAACCATTTTTGTAACTGTTATCGTCTCAATGAAAAATTGCTATCAATTCTTGTCCAAAAAAAAAAGGGGTACACCAAAGTGATAGAGATGTATTTGGTCGCGCAACACTTAATTAAAAATATCAAAGCTTATGTCAGCTAATCTCGTTGTCAATCCTTTTCACGTATATCCACGTTTAGGAGTAAAGACAATTTACAGCCATACCATCACCACTTTGTATCTTAAAAAAACAAACTAATACACAAAAATTCAAACTCAGTTTAATTACCTTGTTTGAATTAATTAATTATTAACAAATTAATAAATATTATTATTCAATTCAAGAACTATAAACTCTTGTGGCTTCTAGTAACGTCAGATGATGTAGATCGATGCACTCTTGGGGGTACTTGAAAATGGGAATGAAGGTGGCAGAAACATTAGGCTCCCGAGCTGCGAATTCTCTGGAGTTGTTTTGTTCAAATAGCTTGATGCACATCCTATTAAAGTGAGGAAGAAATCAGTACACTGTGAGCTATGACTTCACGGATTCACAAGGAATTTAGAGTAATTCCAGTACAAAGATGGAAGATGATGATGTAAGAGAGAATAGAGAGGCAACAGACAATATGACTCTGCTATTTCATTCACACACATTCACCATAATATCTGCTAGAGAGAGAGAGTACGAATAAAATACTCACACTTCTAATGGTTATACACTTTTGGCAGTATTTAAAATACATCAAAGACAATCTCAGCCCTCCATCTTACACCCTATGAGATATAGACACTTGGCAACTTACTTACTTAAAACCTATGAGACTCAAATAAGAAAGATACAACCACATCAACATTTAACTAATTATTCTAGCAATATGAGCTAGAACTACCACTGCCATATCAAATCACAATTTACACACTAACATCCCCCTTTAAATTATGAACTGACTTCACACCAAGAAGTTCTCTGAGATAGGTGAATAACTCCCTTGCTACTGCCTTTGTAAAGATATCAGCAACTTGCTCCTTTGTAGGACAGTGAACCAAATCGATCACTCCTTGTTGCAATGCCTCTTTTATGAAGTGGTACCTTCTGTTTATATGCTTGCTTTTCTGATGAAAGATAGGATTCTTGGTGATAGCAATGGCTGAAGTATTGTCACAGTTCATTGGTGTTGCAACAGATTGCACTTCACCAAAGTCTTCCAGAACAAATCTTAGCCAAGTAGCCTGTGTTGTTTCCTCAGATGCACTAATATACTCTGCTTTAGCTGTGGATAAGGTAACACATTGTTGTTTGACTAAAGCCCAAGAGAGAAACTCCACTGCTAAAGGTAAAAGCATACCCAGATGTGCTTTTCATGTCTTCTTCTGAACCACTCCAATCACTATCACAGAATCCTATCAAAATTACTCCTTTGCCTTTCTTGTACTCCAAGCCAAAATCAAGAGTCCCCTGAACATATCTTAGAATTCTCTTTACTGTCCCATAATGCTTGTTAGTAGGACAATGCATAAACCTTGCTAACAAACATACAACATGCATTATGTTAGGTCTAATTGTTGTGAGATACAATAAACTCCCTATAATTTTTCTACACTGGGCTTCATCCGCAACTCTTTCCTCAGTTTATCACTTGGTACAAGTTGAGTGCTAATGGGTTTACAATCCTAAAGTCTAAATTTCTTTAACAGAGATGAGGCATACTTTCTCTGGTGTATGAAAATGCATTCTTCAGTTTGCATTACTCCCATATCAAGGAAATGATGTAGAAGGCCCATATCAGTCATTTCATATTTATGCATCATATCAGTTTTGAATTCATCCATTAACTCTTGACAGCTTCCAGTGTATATTATATCATCAACATAAATTGATACTATAATCATCTCTGAGTCTCCTCTACACTTGGTACACAATGTTGCCTCACTAGTGCTCTTTTTGAAACCACACAGTGTAAAGTATGAATTTATCTCTCCATACTAAGCTTATGTGTCTGTTTTAAACCATATAAGGCCTTGTGCAGTTTGTAAACCTTATCCTCCTCTCATTTCACAATGAACCCATCTAGTTGATCTACATACACCTCCTCTTCTAGCACACCATTTAAGAAAGCTGATTTCACGTCCAGTTGAAATAGTTTCGACTTGTTCTTTGCAGCCAATCCAATCAAAGTTCTTATTGTGTTTAACCTAGCAGCAGGTGCAAAGGTTTCATTATAATCTATCACAAGCTTTTGTGCATAGCCTTTTGCAACAAGTCTAGCTTTGTTATTTTGAACTGAGCCATCTAAGTTCAACTTCCTTTTATACACCCATTTCACACCAATCACAGGCTTATCGAATGGTTTTCTTACCAGTTCCCAAGTTTGATTCTTCTCAATCATGCCAAATTCATATTCCATTGCCTTCTTCCATGCTTCATCTTGTGCAGCTTCATTATAACACTCTGGTTCAATGATACACACATGACATCTCGCATAAATCTCACTCAAGTTTCTATATCTCAGTGGAGTATAATCATACTAAGATGTAGAAATAGCACTGCTTGATTCACCATAGGCAGTAGTTAGAGAGCCTTCAATTTTAAATTGAGAACCTCTAGATATAACATCTTCATCAACTTTATTCATTTCCAAAGATTCATTTCCAGAAAATGGAATGCACAATTCCTTGACTTTATGTTTCTCCCAGTCCCATTTACCATTCTCATAAAAAAAAATCACATCCCTTGAGAGTATCACATTCTATGTTTCAGGATTAAGCACTCTATACCCTTTCTCACAAGTGCCATATCCAATGAAGATACCAATGACACTAGTTTCTTCCAGTTTATGTCTTAGATTTTCTGGAACAAGAGAATAACACACTGAGCCAAACATTCTCAGGTGTTTAATTCTAGGTTTTCTTCCACTAAACTTCTCAAAGGGTGTAATATTCTTCAATGCTTTTGTGGGGCATTTGTTTAGCAAATACATAGATGTGTTCATTGCTTCACCCCATAGATTTTATGGAAGACCTCTCATGCAACATATATGCATTTTGCCATCTCCACTATAGTTATGTTCTTCCTTTCTACAACTCAATTCTGTTGTGGAGAGTATGCAATAGTGAGCTGCCTCTCCAATCCCAAAGATTCATAGAACTTTTCAAATTTACTCGAAGTGAATTCTCCACCCCTATATGTTCTCAATTTCTTCACAGAATAACCACTTTAAAGCTCTACCGTAGCCTTAAACTTCTTAAACACATAGAAGACTTTTGACTTGTGTTTCAAGAAATAGATCCAGCACATCCTTGAGTAGTCATTAATGAATGTAATGAAGTATCTATTTCCACTCATTTTTGGTGTTTGCATAAGGCCACACATATTTGAGTGTATTAGCTCCAGTAACATATTTGCTCTCCAAGTTGATTCTTTTGAAAAAGACTCCCTGTGATTCTTTCTCAATGCACATCCTTGACACACACATTCACTGTCATGCATTATAGGTAATCCAAGAACCATATCATGTTCCTGCAACTGCTTCAGACTCCTATAATTTAGGTGTCCAAATCTTCTATGCCACATTGTAGCACATCGCTGCACATTAGCCTTTAATACCAATTGATCATTAGATTTGAATACTAGTGGAAAGCACATGTTTCTCTTTTGCTTCACACTCACCACCAAGTTTGTCAATGTCCTGTTGTCAAAGATATCCACCTTATAGTCACCAAACACAAGAAAATACCCATGTTTAGTCATTCGTCCAACACTGAGTAAATTCTCTGCAAGTCCAGGTACTAGCATGACTTCTTTTATATACTTTTTCCCCTTCTCAGTGTCATTAACAAGAGTTCCTTTGCCTTTCACATCAACGAGAACCCATATGCCAACTTGCACTTTTGCTTTAATACTTCTGTCAATGTCCACAAGTAGATCCTTTCTAGAGGTTATACGATTACTACATCCACTGTCTATATACTAGATGTCACTCACAGTTTTCACTTTAGTTGTTTGCTTAACTAGGAAAAGATTTCTAGGTTCTTCCACTTTGTTTGCAAAGTTCCCTTGTTGAACATTCTTATTGAGATTGCAAACCCTGGCAATATAACCAAGTTTGTCATACTTGTGACATTTTACATTCGCTTTCAGCCAACACTATCCATAGTGTAGCCTATCACAATATTTACAAGCACCACCAATATTGCTAGTTTCATTCCTTACACTTGGAGGACTTGTTATTCCATTGCTTCCCTTTGAACTTGAAATTCTTCTGAAATTTTGTTCCACTAGTGTTGGTATTTTGATTACCAAATTTACTATTCTTAGGTGAAATATCCAGACTAGCAAATGCACACTTATTACTACTTTCTCCATGTCTAGTTAACCTCAGTTCATACCCTTTCAATATGGCAACCACATCTTGTGCATCAATCGCATCAATATCTTTAGTATTTTCTATAACGGAAGTTATACTATCATATATTTTTGGGTAAACTGATCAACAACTTTTGTACAATTCTCTGATTACTAAGATCTTCACCATAACTTTTCATCTGTGTCAGATCCAGTATCGACTCCACTGTAGTACGATATTGTCTGTCAGATCCAGTATCGACTCCACTGTAGTACGATATTGTCCGCCTTGGGCCCTGGCCACGCCCTCACGGTTTTGTTTCTGGGAACTCACACGAGAACTTCTCAGTGGGTCATCCATCCTAGGATTGCTTTTGCCCAAACTCACTTAACTTCGGAGTTCGATGGAATCCGAAGCCAGTGAGTTTCCAAAAGGCCTCGTGCTATAAGAGGTAGGCATGTACATATAAGGCACATCACTCCTTCTCATTTGGTCGATATGGGATGTTACAATCTGATTTATCAAATCAAACAACCTAGCCAGATATACAGCTAGAGATTCATTTTCACCCATACGAGTATACACAAAGTCACGAAAAAGACCTTGTAATTTCATAGATTGTACATGTTTGTCTCCTACGAACTCTTGCTTCTAAACATCTTATGCTGCTTTTGCAGTTTTCAAAGTTGCAATGCGTGGAAAAATTTGATCCAATACGACTCCTTGAATGATTCTAAAAGCCTTTGCATCCCCAACCAGATTTTCACGATGTAGCTTCATCTTCGCCTCTGTTATCTCTTCCTTCGCCTTCTCTGGAAAAGAAAAACTCGTCTCAACAATACTCCATAACTCATGAGATCGGAAAATTGTTTTCATTCGAATTTTCCAGCAATTGAAATTATAAATATAGGAGCATGAAGCTCCCCTCCACCAAACCTAGCCATGTTAGACTAAGATCGCACCTCTCGCTCTCACTGATTTCCTTACAATGAGATGTTGCGAGAATCAACACTCACATAATTAACGCCCAGAGTTTTCAAACCGAACCTGGCTCTGAGGCCATGTTAGAGTGAGGAAGAAATCAGTACACTGTGAGCTATGACTTCACAGATTCACAAGGAATTTAGAGTAATTCCAGTACAAAGATGGAAGATGATGTGAGAGAGAAGAGAAAGGCAATAGAGAATATGACTCTGCTATTTCATTCACACACATTCACCATAATATCCGCTAGAGAGAGAGAGTAAGAATAAAATACTCACACTTCTAACGGTTATACACTTTTGGCAGTATTCAAAATACATCATAGACAATCTCAGCCCTCCATCTTACACCCTATTAGATGTAGACACTTGGCACCTTACTTACTTAAGACCTATGAGACTCAAATAAGAAAGATACAACCAAATCAACATTTAACTAATTATTCTAGTAATATGAGCTAGAACTACACTACCATATCATATCACAATTTACACACTAACACATCCAATGCTACTGTTTATTCCCTATCTGTGACTGAAGGAATGGAGAAAGAGTAGCAGTACTGTTGTTGCCAATGATTGATGTAAGGGCGGTGGCTAAGGCGGATTGGAAGCTAGGGTCAGCTGTGATTTCCTCGGTTGCAGCTGCAATAGAGTCTGGTTGAAACTGATGCGGAACTCCTCGAGGGGGATTAGGGTTGGGGTTAATATTCTTCTGCATGCAGTTTTGGTACATGCTGTTTTGCAGGGGCTGCTGCCTGATTCCAGGACTACTTAGTGGTGCAATTTGATTCTTGTTACTGATATTGTATGGAGGTAACTCGGGTAAGCGGGTCCTCCAAGACGTGTTGGTGTTCGACTCAGAATTTGATCCAAAGTTGAGGCTGGTGGAAGGGTAAAGTTGACGGGAAGAACTTGATGAAGAAGAGAATTTGTTGAAATGGGACAAGGAATTGGATGGTGATGAAGGGTTTGAAGTGAGGTCTAAGGTGATTGTTGGGAGAGAAGATGAGAGTGAAGAGTTGGGTTTGTAGAATCTGGATTTTGAGTTGTCAGAAAGGTAGAAATTGTAACCATGAAGATCGTGCACAGCGATTGTTGATGGGTTCAGGCGGCCAGAGATTGAAGATGATGAACCGGATAATAGCATGGAAGCAGCTGCAGAGGTAGTGGAAGCCATAGCTGTGGCTGACATTGGAAGTGGGTGATTGTGTGTTCCTTCATAGGTGGTGATTAAGATGGACATGTCCTCTGCAAACCTTTGTACCTAAATTAATTGCAAATCAAAAAATTAGCGTACAAAATAGTTTTAGATACCATACAGTGTATCATATTATGTGACAGGTGATGTGTCACTCACCGACACAGTGAGGTGCATGCATTTACCTGTTTTCTTACTGGACACGAAGGTGCAATGATGCAACGGTAGTAAGCACGAGGCCATGGATTTCCTTTTGCAATCTTTTGCCCATATTTCCTCCATTGGCATCCATCGTCCATCTGTGTCCAAGTAAAATTATACTTTAGTAAATAAAATCTCATGGTTACAATTAACCAATCTTTAGTGAATTCCATTTTTAATTGCATGCATTTAAACTACTTAATATCACTAATATGTGTGTAAACTAACCGTTGGGGTGTCACATCTAGCTCTCACTGAAACCCTAGCTTTCTTGGCTGGGCTCTGTTGCGCAACTTCATCTTCTATAGCACTTGATCTCATTGTCTTGAGAACCTTTTTTGGTAGCCAAGTCTTACCAGCTTCTTCCTTGGGCACTTCTTCAAGGCTGCTTCCAGGGCTTGGATTTGCCAAGGGAACTTGATCAGTTGTAGCACTTGACTTAGCTGCTTCATATTTGCAGTCTAGCCCCAAAGACAAGCTTTCTCCATCTGACTCGTTTTCTACTTTCCCTTGACTAGTGCTAGGGTTTTTATCATTCTTTTGGTTCCATTTTGGTTTTCCAGAAAATGATCCGAGGCTGAGTGACACAAACTCGGATTCCTCGTCTTGGTTATATTTCTTAATAGTACTTGGAATTGCAATGTCCTTGGACTTGTTTGCTTTTTGTTGAATGTCATAGAACTGCATTTGAAGTGTCTGGTAGTCCTCCGTTATCCGATCCAGGTACTTCTTCAGCCTTCGGTTTTCTTCTCTAACTTTACCAATTTCCGCTCTAGCAGATTCAAGCTGATAATCCTATGAAATATTTGAGAAATAAACTCAGAAAAATTAGTTCTCTCTAGCCTTTGGTTTTCTTCATATATATGTATGTATGTGTGTGTACGCGCGTGTGCGCGTGCGCGTGTGTGTGATAATAAACAAAGTGAACGTAAGTACCTGTTCCTTTAGACTTGATGAATTAGATGCCACTGAATGATCAGGTTCCGCCGAGGACCCCTTTATGTTACTTGTGGTTGACATCTGTTCAATTAGTATCATACATATATAGTTATAAAAATTCATTGAAAGATTGAAGAATAATCAAACCTGCAGTGTTACATTTTAAATTATAAGAGTTAATAATGATCAACCGGACACCATTGCATTTTTTTTTTTTTTGTTACATGAATTTAGCCACCACTAGGCTAACCCTATTAACACCGTTGCTCGGTTCTTATTAAATGATCATTCCTAATCTGAATCAAAGGTCTTATACTCAAAACAAAAGCATACAACTCTAGGCAGCCATAAGTCATACATCCCTGTCTTCAAACCGCTAGCTAGATGGCCAAATTAGCTCTGGTTTAGGCACCACCCCATTTCAATACTTCACTATCTTTGTTAAATAATGAAAGCAAATTGTGGATGTTGATTGTTGGTACATGTACCTTAAATTCATGGACTTCTAATAATGAAAAATATGTATCTGCTCACGATTTAATTACCTTTCAAATATAGTTAATCAAGTTGCGCATGCATGTAAATCCAATAACTTGGGGAGAAGATTCAGATCAGCGAGAGATGGATTTAAATCCAATGGATATGATGAAAGATATTTATCCACGTTTTATTTACGTGAAATTCAAAAGAACTATATAAAAAAGATAATACAAGAAATCATGCTAACATTAAAAAGCCTATTGATTTCTTTGGCAAAAAAAAAAAAAAAATTGATTTCAAGAAAAAGGGATAATATTTCCTTCAAGTTCAAAGGTACTTAACATATATAAAGTTAAAATCCATAACAAATATTGGCCATTTAGAACCCTTGTTATAGATCAAAACTCACACCAAAATTTTTTTCTGTGTGTAGAAATAAGATAAAAATAGATTGTAATCTTCAAAAATTGCATAAATTCTCCCAAATCACAAGCTCAATCTCCACACACATACACACACACACACACACACATGTATAACATATATATACAAGATTTCTTGAATTTCTGATAGATTTGGAAAGAAAACAGAAACAAATTTAGATGCAATATTATTATTATTATTATTATTATTATTTTCACTTACAATGTCTTCTTTGTAACCAGCTTCTTGATCATCAGCGCTACTAATAGATTCAAGTACTACTCTTTTCTCTTCCATCTCTGATGCTCCACGGCTATTAGACTTTCCCGAAGCAGCCTCCATTGTTTTCTTCAGTTTTCTCTCCTTTTTCTAGGGCCTCCTCAATCTCTACTCTGCTTATATAGACAGCGTGCAGTTTGACTCAACCCTTTAAAAGTTTGAAAATTGTTAAACTCATATATCAGATGAGATAGCTTATATAACTATTATAAAATAAGCTCATAATTTAAATGACCACGGCACACACAAAATGTGAACTGCACCCGTTCTCCAATTGCAGCAAAAGAAATACACACTACAACGATATATTTACGCTTACATTAAAATTTGGACTATGCTATATGTCGAGTCAGTTATAATTTGATACCCGTTTTCTCATCACATACGAGAGTGGAACTAAAAACCTCTTTACTTAAAAGTTGAGATGAATATTACTAAATTGTTGTGCTAAGTAATATTATAAACAATTTCATTATAATCTTGTTAAAAAGGAAGAAAACAAAGAAGGAGAATTTAACGTCAATGTTTGAGATAACATGCTAGGAAAGACAAAGGGTAATGCTAAGGAGATTAAGGTTGTAGACTAAATTTGCAAACTAAATAATGTGTCACCACTAAGAAATAAATATGTTAATCAATACTGAAGTAATAATCAAATAATCAACTTTCATCTCATTTAATTTACCAATTTAATCTTGGGAGTTTTAACGAAAAACCCAAGGTACTGTTCACTTTAATGAAAAACCACATTTTTACACTAAAAAGTCAATCCTAGTACTATTCATTTTACCCTTTATTTTGTCCTTATCATTAAAACTTAAAGTTTTCAAGTCATTTTCATTAATTTTCCTTTTAATCTTCCTAGCATTGCCTATAGACAAAACTTTGAATAGTTTGAAGGCTTTGAAGTTTCGTATGTTACAAAAGTCACATGGGGATCGGGTCATGGTCAAACCTTGTCCGTAGATTTATTTTCAGGGGTGGGGTATTAGGGTTTTGTATCTACTGAGAAAAGTTAAGATTTAGGTAAACTATGGGTGTTAATTACAAGTATTATGGTCAGTTCAAGAATTTTTCTTCTTGGATTCATTTGTCCATGCATTTGACCTTAACGTAAATACCATAATCAACTATGGGTGTTAAGTACAAGTATTATGGTCAGTTCAATAATTTTTCTTCTTGGATTCATTTGTCCATGCATTTGACCTTAACGTAAATACCATGATTAATTCATGTTGGAATTGGAATTGGAATTGGAATTGGAATTGTATGCAGCTCTCCAAAGTATACCAAAAGTTATATGAAACTGTATACACGTTATATATGTTGAATCTTCATAAACATAAATACATGACAGTATAGTTTGATTCTCCAGATTGCTTATAACAGTTTCTTATTTTGATACTCCTACCTTATACTCCTGTATGTCTCTTGGCTTGTGATCATTTAACGGTAAATTTACATGCCATCATATGATGAAGGATGACTAGAGATGATCAGAGATTGATATTATACCTTGGATAAGTCAATGTCTGTGTACAATTTTCAAAGGATTAAATAAAACTAGGATTACCTTCGGTACATTGTCGTTGGACAAATTATGCTAGTATTTTATTTGAATAACAATTCTACAAATTAGTAAATAAAATGGAAAATTTGGTGTTTCAAAACTTTGAAAATTATGGGAATTTTTTTATATATAAAAGCTAGTGTTCGCCACCCTTCCGGGGCATTAAATGAATCGAACGATCGAAGAATATACTACATTTTCTACATATCATAGCAAATCCGTGGAAACCCATTAAATTACTTGGCAAAGCAATATGAAGCATGATGGCTCATCAACCCCATTTTGCCCAAATTAAATCGGATAATACTTGCATTCCCGCAAGGGAATGACTTATTCTCCACTTGCAAATAACGTATTTTCACTGTATAAATTTTATAATCAAAACCGTTCAATTTCTTAATTTTTATTTGAAGATCTTCACTACAAAATCATTCGAACCGGATATCGTTCCATCCTAATGTATCAAATAAATCAATGATGCAGATACCAAGTAGCATCCTTATGATAAACCGTTGATTTATTTCATACATTTAGATGATTAAACAATTGAATGATTTATTATAGAGATAAGCTTCAAATGGAGATTAGAAGATTGAACTTTCTCATTATGAAAGTTTACGATGAGATACGTTATAAATAAGTGGACGAAGGAACTCATCCTCTAAAGTTGAATGCAAGCATTATTTCAATTAAATATTGAATATTAAAATACAAGCAGTCCACTTGTAACCGCAAGGCTCGGCCATGAGCAGCCCCTATATTTATATTACATGTAGTATATAGGTACATATAAAATAGAATTACTGTTCACTTTTAACGAAAAACCATATTTTTACCTTTTTCTGGTACTATTCACTACACCTTTATTTGTTATTTTCATTAAAACTAAAGTTTTTTTGAACTTTTTATCAGTTTTCTTTATAAAATAACCTTGGGATCATGAACGTTGGCGTCTAATAAACCAAGCTACAAATATATATATATATATATATATATATGTATGTGTGTGTATGTATGTATGTATGTATGAATCAACCTCGACCAGGATGAGAGTTTATGTATGATTTGATCCAGGTGAAATTTGTTTGAAATCAAATAGTTAAAGACATTTATTTCAACATTTGAAGTGTTGTGTTCAATTTTTTTTCTCTTTCACAATATCGTTCTTATATACATATATACATATATATATATATATATATATATATATATATATATTAAACCTAATTTGTTACTAATTAAGTTATGAAATTGTTGACCTTAAAAATTACAAAGCCTACGTGGCGCGCAGGACGAGTAACTAATGAGCTAACTACGTCCTTCGTTTGATGCGGGGCGTGCCAACTCGTTGGCCAAGGAGTAAAATTTGTAGATGTTGCGTTGAGCGCGATGCTGACTTCTTGATCTTGCGATTGCGATCGAGGAAGGAACAAGTCTTGGCCTTTGGATTCTCGAGCCTGAAGACAAGGCTGCTAGTTCTGTGAAGTTCACGAATCGTTGACGCCGAATTCGCTCACAATGTTTATATTCGTAAGAGATAAGCATGTCGAATCGACACCAGACTATATGGACACAAGTATTCAAAGGAGATGTATGTCTTAATGGTAAATGTGGTTCGGCCGTCAGAATGCCGAATTCTGAAACTCACTTGTGAGTATCCAATCATAAAATCACTCGGCGTTCGATGTGCCGAATGTCGTAACTCGTAACACCTTACTTGGCCGAGAAGGCTAATAAGATGACCTCCGCCAACAAGGATTAGAAAACCCTTCTCGACCAAGACTTAGATAGGTAACCAGTCGGCCTCGACGCAGTGCTGTTTATCCAAACTGAAGGTGCTCCTCGGTCGGCTGATTCTACAGCAACGGTGTTGTTTATCCAAACTAAAGATGTGTCGGCGAAAAAAGAAAATAAAAAATCTCAAGATGTTTAAGAGGTTTGCGCAGGGCAATTGTGTGTTGAATTGGAGATACTTGAATTGTGCACTCCGTTCTCTATTTATAGCAGCAAGAACAAATCCTTCTTACGATCGAGTTAAAACCATACTCGGACTAGGCCTCCTTACCCCAATCCATCTTATCTCGGCTAGTCCTCCTTCCATTAGGATTTTGAACTCAACCCCATATTAGGCCACATTCACTTCCAGGTTTCAACGTCCTTATCCGGCCGAGAATCCTTACTGCACCAGGACTCAACTTCTTCATCAAGCCGCTCCGGAATAGGGCTCAACCACCTTTACTGAATAGCCCGGGACCACCAGGCAGCCCATAGTATATTTGGAAAAGCTTTGGGCCGAACCTACGTTTGGCCCAAAAATATTATTTTGGGCCCAAACAGAAACTCTTGATAATACTTCAACAATTGTACTTAATTAATTATCAATATCACCTTATTAGCTACCATACAGGGGCCGTGTTGCATATGCTGTTCCCTTGGTGTTTCAATTAGATTGGTTAAAACTTAAACCGCCCTTATAAATTGTTTTACCCTAAGTGATTTGTCAAACTGAGTTTTGAGAGAAAGTGTGTTGCCAACAACATCTATTAAACATAGCCTTACTCTTACTTTGCGAAGAGATTATTTTCACGACTCGAACATGAAAAAATATTAAGGTTTAAAAGTTTAGAACAAGTACTTAAGTTACTTTCAATCTGTTCAGATAACTTGAATTAATCCTCATAATATATAATATTACCTCTTATTAACTTCATGTAAAATATCATTCAATTAATTGGTAAAGATTATAGATCGAGGAAGCCCTGATCAGTTTATTAATTACCCAGAGATCAGAGTCAACAGCCTAGGAAGAGATTATATGGTAAGATTATAGAAGTACTGTTCATGCTAATCATGTTACTAATTAATCTTGTGGATTATTAATGCCTTCAAACTAAGTTAACATGCTTTAATGTTTTTTTAATCATGGTAGATTCTACTCGTTTAATTTTAGGATAAATAAAGACTTTAATTAAGTCAACGAATTATTTAAATGACTGAGATATGCCTAAGTGGACCAACCAACCAAATAACAAAATAACAATGTATATGGATCTTACATATATGTTGTTTATCAGTCAATTGTTCGAGAGCTTCCCAAGGAGTACTTCTGGTTCTATAGGTGCTTGAAACAATTTATCTTCTCCATATTACTATATCTCTAGAGTTAAAAAATTTATATGAGGAACTTTAGATATTGTTTTAATTGAAGTGGAACCTAGCAAGAAAAATAAATATAGAAGCAGGTGGTGTAAGTTCTCAAATGTCTATGGGTGGTATATATTACGCAAAGCCCAACGATCCCAAAATTTTAAGAACTATTTCTTTCTGCATGGATGAAAAAAAAAGGTTTCAATCAATAATGTTCAAAAGGTTGATCGACACTAGGGTTTTCACAATTAAAGAACTTCTCGTCAAACATCCGACTTGAAGAATAAAGATGTATAGCTGACAAAATTTTCTCTTCAAAATCGATCATGCACGCCATATGGTTTGAAGGAAGTGCAACGTTCCTTAACTTTCAAACGTGAGATTTATGTTTTCAA